AGCCTGTGCAGGAGTAGCACTGATTGGTGCTGTGGTCTTCACCCTCTTGGGCACTGGATTTGTTAAAAGTTTGTGGAGAATTGACTGATTGACTCACCTTGCACCTGATGACTATACCTTGGCAGTGAGCTGGTGGATGGTATCATGTCGTCATTGTCCTGTGTACTTGTGCCAAAGGGAACTCAAACCAAAACAACCCAATGTCACAAGATTTTACCTAACGCCAACTTCAAGGGAGGATTTGTCGAAGTTACATTAGAAAGTATAGGTTGCATTGCATTATAATCACTTCACAAATTTGGACCCTTGGCAGCTTTCATCCAAAGTAGTCCAGCCATATAAAACTTTATCTGATGTTGGGATTCATCCAGAGATTATGCAACAACAAAAGGTCACATACAATGACAAGGGCATGGCAGAATGATAGCGCATTACCACTAGTGCTCAACTAGGTACCTGTGGAGGCTTTGGCAAACTTAATAATCTGTTCTCACAGTTGGTGGGTATTTCAATGAGACTGCACAAATACGCATTTGGTGGTTTCTATCCAACTTAGTCCAGGTATTCAAAGCTTTGTCATTTGAAGTACAATTGTGATATATATTGCTTGGATTTTACTTTAGATAAAGCTTTCTAACATTTTCACCATTTTCATGTTGGTTTCCTGATGAGCTGAGGGTCAACAATGATGAGAAATAAGTGTTGAAAGGGAGTCAAGGTCCATGCTGACCGAGGTTGGTCAGTGCACTGATGGTGGTCAAAGTGTTGAAATGGCTGCATCCAGCATCAAACGAGGGACAGGGCATTAGACAGGTGATGCAAAAGACAATGCAATCAGATGGAATGGGCATGTGCGGGGTATGAGAGGGAGGGTATGAGAGACATGCAAGAGAGGGCAGCTTGCAAAGCAAGTGTGAGAAATTAAAAAAATATAGTACAAACATATAAATTCAAAACATACCTGGATTACAGTGTCACCAGCACTGATCCAAATCCATTAACTTGCACTGGCACAGGCCTCATTGTGAATCAAATAGTTGGAAATGAGTTGAAATTGTTGAGAATGAGTTGAGAAAATTGAAAATGAGTCAAAATTGTTAAGAACAAGTCAAGACAGTTGAAAATGGGTTGAGGTAATTGAAAACCCATCAACTGGGTGCAGGTAGGGGTATGGGTATCCCAAACCTGGTCCCCTACCCCTACCTGAGACCCAGGCAGGTTACCCCTACCCCTGCAGTTCCCTAGCAGTGCAAAGTGCCCCCCTCTCTGGTGAGATGTGGGAGACAACAGGGGACAAATTCTGATGCTGGAGTAGGATGTCAGGTTTCCATCAAAACAATCATCAATCATTCTGAAACTATGTGGTGATTGGTACTATACTGCCAGAACAGGTTTTGTTGTTACAACCCTGACAACAACACATGTACTGCTTGCCTGCCTGCAACACCTGCCCCTGGGAATCTGAGGAGGATTCAGTTGGAAGAGGTCAGGATTAATGAGCACTGGCCAGTAAGTGATCTCAAACCATCAACTTGAAATGCCTCTGACAAACAGTGGTGCCAGCATTACAAAGGGTCTGTGTGAGGACTCATCTACAGAACAAGCACCTGCACTCCCCACATGGTTTCAGTCCCATTCAGGGATGGAATCAAGAAACCCAGTAACCTCTCACACCTGCAGGTGACACACTGGGTGAATCTGCTAGGACCCAACCTCTTCATATCTTCAACAGGACATTTACACAAAACTTACAATCTCATTACACAGATGGGCCTGCAGGAGTGCCTGCACTCACTTACACATTCTTTTGCAAACATCCTGCAGCTGCATTCGCAGCGCCGAACAGCTTGATTCACAGGATTGCAGGTATCACTTCAAACACTGATGACATTGCAGGTAACATTCTGGTTATGAAACATGAGCAGGGGAAGAAGCACGAGATCATGGACTGCGATGAGGAGGACATACCATGGGTTGGTGGTATCATGAAACAGTGAGCACAACACCATGGAACGAACCATGCACTGACAAATGCCAGGTCCTTGAAGCATGGGAGATTCTGGAATTAAACAGGTCAGACAGAACAGGCTTCGAGAATGAGATGATCTGGAAAGAATGTGGTGGTTTTCAACTAAATAGGATAAACTGTGAAATAGTGATGTACATCGTTTCTTGCTGCGTCAGCGGCGATACGGATATGGTAACTCCGCTGGCGTACTGAACGAGTATTCAAGTCAAACGAAAAAGCAACTATGTACCATATTGACGGGTTGATTTCCAACAGCAAGTAGCGTCCTTCAAGCTTCAGGGATGACAGCCGGAAAGCGGGCGCGCGATGGGGGTAACACCAAGTAAACCGCAAGCTAATGACGCCTCTATAAGTGGTCGTAGACAAGAGAAGTAAGAGCATATCTCTCACCTCCCGCGACAGCTTGAATGACGGAGTAACCCTCCTTGAAAAGGATGTGCTGTCGTTAGAGGTACCAAGAAAATGAGGACTGTTGACAAGACCAATACAGTCCACATATTCTGAAAAACATGAGCGGCGAAATCACCATCAAAAAATTGAGGTTGTGCGTGTAGGGACTCTTGAAGATACGGACTTTGAAGATCGTCGAAGGACCACACTTACCGCGCGATAAGGAAAAAAGATACAAGTGACAATGTATGCCAGAGGACGGGGGCAGAAAGAACAAGCACTAGGGTAGGGGCAGGTGTCGCGGCCAATCTCAGCTGTGAATGCCGTGATGGTGTTCAGGCTTTCGTCGAGAGGTAGATGAGCGGACGGAGAAAACTCAGAGTCATAACAGAGTGCTACAAGCTCTCATACTAGGTAACATTTACAGGCTTTATATAGACCTGTAAATTCGTGCACCCTGAGAAGGGACAGGTATCCAATATGTTACGCTGTACTGTCAGCGGTGCTGTCGAGGGTGGGTTCTCGCCTTGTCAACTGATAGTGAGATGAGTAAAGGAGTCATGTAACAGAACAGGATGATCACTCACGACGACACAGAGAGCGGAAGACATGATGATAGCGGCGCCGAGAACTGACAGCAAAGACGGCACAACTCCAAAGATTAGGCGTTCGAGCACCACAGCAAAAAGCATCTGGATATATACTCCAGTGGAACCGCGCGATACAGTTTCTCGTTGCAACCCCAACGTCAAGAGAGTCTGGAAAGGCAGTGAATTACCGGTGAATGAATGGAGGGTCACTAGTAGCTGACCTGTGCCACGAAGCCAAAGACACCGACCATGAGCAAAAGAAGTGACCATCTCCATGATCTAGGATATACGACAGGAATATTGAAGACGACCATCCTGTTACATAGCAAATGATTAATGTGACGCGCAAATATGCAAAGATATATCTGCGAACCCCAAAGATGCGATGATGGTGCACCACAAGGAAAAGAATGTCATCACATGCATCGGATGAGCTCGCTTTCCAATTGCGCGAATCGAGGTATCTGCGAAAATCATTGAAGCAGTCATCAACGTGAGAAGGTCGACAACGATGCGTACATGCTCCAGTGGCTCCAACAACACCAATCAAAGATGCCCTACCGAACATTGAATGGTGAAATGGGAGGAGCGATGTACAAATGACGACGCTCACCCAACAGCCGCCAGCCTTTGTGCTGGGGTTGTTTCCAGCGAGTCAGGAATAGCAGCTGGCATGGAGTTGAATAGAAATGGGGGGCGAGCGATGAGGACAACACCAAGTAAACTGCAAACTAGTGACACCTCTGAGTATCTATGGACAAGAGAGGTCAGAGCATAACTCTCACCTCCCGCGACGGCTTGAGTGACAGAGTAGCCCTCCCTAAGGAGGAGGCATCCAGCAACCGCAGTTGTAAGAGGTGTCAAGAAAGTCAGGACTGTCGCATCTGCGACAGATAGATACTGAAGCGACAGATACAGTCCACATAATCCGAGAAACCTGAGCGATGAAATGATCACCAAAAATGGAGGTTGTGTGTGTAGATTAATACGCACCCGCTGATCCCACGGATTACCAGTAGTGTTCGAACACCTTTGGGGCCAATGACCGGATTCGGGACCCCCGTGACAATCCTTCGCGCCGTCAGTCGCAGGGTATTGTCTGAAGAAGTAACTAACATACATGTATATCACACAGCACGTCAACGTGATGCCCTAGGGACGAATCTATATTCAAATGAGTGCAGTTCGTAAAAACTCTTTGACGCACCATTCTAACTACAATAACCTGTTATAATGAGATTGATTCCGTTCGGGAAATAAATATAAAGCAACAGCTGACTTCAAACGCGTGCACCGGAGGCTCCAAGCTGTTTAGCATCTTCACCGATAGATTCATGGAAGCGAAAAAAAAACTGAGAAGCTATAATGTATAGCATCCCGGCGTTATTAGCGAGAAAACTTGGGACATTGGACCGTCTATCCATTGCTCCAGCATCTCGGGATGTGCCAGAAGTGGGTTGCGTCGAACCATAGTTGTGTCCCATGTTGTGAATGAGAGGAGACTCGCTGTTGCTCATCTTGGAGGTTTGTCTTCGCTGGGTTCAGCCTGAGGACGTTACGCTAATGCCCTGGGGATATACGTGCTGAGCGCTGAGAGGTGACCGCCTTTATACAAGGTACAAGTCAACATACCGGCGACTCCATAAGTTGGTAATACAAATTTAAGCTATCGGCGGCATATCGGGCTCCTTCAAGAGTCACATTGTTACATACACGTGCCGAGTATTTTTAATTTAAAAGAAGCCTTTGATCGGATTAGGCACGGTCCATGGACAGCTGAGGACTTACTAGGTTGGCACCTGTTTGGTGTAGATTCCTGATTTATCAACTAATAGCAAAATTTGGATGAGCAAAGGAGTCATGCAAACGATGACTACTACTCACGACAACATAAAGAATGGCGGTAGTGTAGTGCCGAGTACTGACGGTAAAGACGGTATAACCCCGAAGAATAGGCGGTCAAACACCACAGCAAAAGAACACGCTTGATATTATATTCCAGTAACGCCACGTGGCACAGTCTTTCGCTGGAGCCCCATGGTCAAATGAGAGTCTGGAATAATAAATTAGCAATGGATGACCACAAATGCAAGGCCACTACTAGTAGTACTGTATTGACCTACGTCATGAAGCCAGAGCCACGAGCATATGATAAGTAACCACGCCCATGGACCATGGTGTGGAATATTGAAGACACTCATACTGTTAGGAACGAATAATTATTTAACACATAAATATGAAATGCAGGGATGTATTTGCATACCACAAAGAAATGAATGCATCAGGTGCGCGCGCTTTCCGATTGCACAAATCGTGTATATGTCAAAATCATTAAAGTAACAATACCATTCAAGGTCAATTACAATACGTACAAGCACCGGTGTTCCCAAGCACACCAATCATACATGCCCTATTAAAACAGAATGGTGAGTTGAGTAGAGCAACATACAAATAGCGTTGCTCACCCAACTGCCACCACCCTTTGCACTGGGGTTCCTTCTGGTACACGGCGTCCGTCAGGGATGCCAAAGAGAATCGATGACGATAACATCGAGCAAACTGCAAACCACTGGCAGGAAATCATAAGCAATCATACATCGTAAAAGGCACTCTCACCCTCTGCGACAGCATGCTTGACGGAATGGCTCTCCTTCAAGAGGATGCATCCAGTAACCGCTGTCCTAAGAGGTGTTGGGAAAGCCTATTATACAGTGTCATACTGGGGTCAGTCCATTAGATGCCCAAAGATTTAAAAAAAACTAACCTAAAGCGCGTGCACACCAGAGGCTCGAAGGTATTTAACATCTTGACTGATATATACGTGCAAGTGGAGAAAAAACTGGGCGGATATGATGAACAGCAGCCCAACATTGCTGACGGTGGTGCTGCCTGTAACACCACTAATGGGACCGCCGTCGTTTGCTATTGCTCCATAACTTTGGCATATGGAAGTGAATTATTGTCATATGTGTTCTCAATGAAAGGAGACTGGTCATCGACATCGCTCATGGAAGTTCGATGTTCGTTCATTGGGAGTCGGTGTCGGCGAGCGAGTTAGTATTTGAAATCGCACACCGTACTATCCGACACTAGCTAATCATGATCAGTCATCGATTCAAATATTACGGCCCATAGTATCATGCGTACATATTAATGACATACTTCTTTTATCCTAGTCTGCCTAGTGGCAGACCTTCAAAGTTGAAAGAGGAAACCAGCCGTTCCCCCTGTCTCATTGAAGACTTATCAGGGCAGCTCAGGGTATCATCCGTTCTTAAGCCGAAGGTAGTAGAGGAGTGAGGGAAAGGAAGCATGCAAGTAGAGGGAACATACGAATTATATTGGCATACCGCTCGGTGGCCCCAAGGATGGCTGCAACATTAAGCTGAAGCGAACATAGTGTCGAGTAGAGTCTAGGACAGTGTCGGACTTTGTTGACTCAGGGTTTGAAGTTGTTCGAAGGAACCGAGTATCACCGTGACAGCCCGGGTCCGACTGATAACAGGGTACCTGGCATGAACCCTACTAGTCCTCAGCGGCAGGCCTAACCCTTAATATTCCTGAACCTTTCCTGACCCTTTCAAATCATACGTAGTATGCTCGTGAACATAATCTAATCATTCCTTGATCATGTTTCACTCAAAAATGGAATCGATTGATCATACATTGCTACTTACAGTGACAAGGTTTAGATAAGGGTTGGTCTGCAGGCCTCGGCATTATTGCACCAGACGCTAAGGTCTTCAATTTCTACACCGTTAGAATCGTATAGTTGGACCACCAGTGCGAAGCGTCGCACTGACCATAACCCAGCGCAGGTACCAGGAGGGGTCAGCACGGCCCAGCGCTTAGATGGTATGACTGATTTATGTCGAATATATAATAGATGGCAAAGGTGCAGTCAAATATCCTACTAAACACATGCAGTCGTCGAATTTACGACTGCCTGAGCAAATTTGAAAAGTTCAACAGGATCAACGTAAGGAGTGGGGAGGATATCGCGCTGAATTGTCAGAGATGCTGTCTTTTGTAGGATCCCGCTTTCTCGACTGACTAGAATGGGGAACCAAGTCATGCAACAGCAAACGAGGACAATGGCCACTCACGACGACATAGAAAGCAGAAGACATGATGATAGTAGCACCGACAGTTGACAGTAAAAACGGTGTAATGCCGAAGAACAGGCGTTCAAGCACCATGACGAAAATCACCTGAGCATACATTCCAGTGACACCACGCGACGCGGTTTCTCGCTGTAGCACCAGTGTTAGAAGAGTCTGAAGTAGTTGTGAACAGCCAGTCGGCAGATGGAGGCTCACTGGTGTACTGACCTACGTGACGAAGCCGAAGCTACCAATCATGAGAAGAAGTAACCACGTCCAGAATGTGGGGTATACAACAGGAATATTGAAAACGATCATACTGTTAGGAGCGGGAGATTAATTGACAAAATAAATGCAGGGATTTATATACCCCAGTGATGCTACGATAGTGCACAACAACGAGAAATATGCCATCGCATGCATCGGGTGAGCACACTTCCCAATTGCACGCATCGATATATCTGTCAAGATCATGGAAGTGTCGGTATTATAGGAGATCAATTACAATGCGTACATGTTCCAGTGAGTCCAAGCACACTGATCATACGTGCCCTATCAATGAAATGATGATGTGGATGGTGCAACGTGCAAATAATGGCGCTCACCCAACAGCCGCTAGCCTTTCCGCTGGGGTTCCTTTTAGTAAGTGGCGTTTATCAGGGATGACAATATTGGGGCCAAAGATAAACGGGGCCTAAAAACGAGGATGACACTGAGTAAACTGAAAACTAGAGAAACCTCTATAAGCATTGGCACATTACAAAAATCACATTATGACTTTCACCTCCCGCAACAGCTTGATTGATGGAGTAGCTCTCCTTCAGGAGGATGAATCCAACCACCGCTGTCACAAGAGGTGTTAAGAAAAGCAGGACTGTCGCATCTGCGACAGTCAAGTGTTGAAGTGACCGATACACGCCATATAGCCCAAAAAATCTTGACCATGAAAATATCATTGGAAAATCAAGGTCGCGCACGTAGATCGGTACGCATCCACTAATGCCACGAACGACCAGCAACGCTCGAACAGCTGGGCCAACTACTGGATCAAGGATTCCCACGATAGTCCTTCGTGTCATCAGCTGTAGGCCGTTGTCTGCACAAGCAACAAACGAATATGTATACCACGCAGCAAATGAACGTGATGACCTGGAATGTATCAATATCTGATTCAAGCCCGGAAACTGTGCGACATACCATCCTGATTGCAATGACCTGTGGTACTAGGTTCAATGCATTCGACGACCAGAGGTGGAGAAACAGCTAACCTGAAATGCGTGCATTCGAGGTTCCAAGCCGTTCACTATCTTCACCGAAATATACAATAGAAAAACTGGGCGGAGATGATGAATAACATCCCAATGTTATCAGCAGTAATGCCTGTGATACTAGGTTGACTGTCGTCAGCCATTACTTCATCGAATGGGGGTAAGGAAGTGGGATGCGTTGCGTTGTCAATGGGAGAAAGCTCACTATCGCTCCTCGTCGATGTTTATGGATTCGTGGATTTGTGGATTTGGAGCGTTGCACTAGCCAGCAGGAACTGAACAGGACCCAGTACCTCAATGGCATGGTTGTCACCTTGACATACAAATGTGTGGCAAAGTGCGTAATATATAAGGCACAAAAAAGGTTACAGGCGTCCTAACTGGAATATTTGTAGAAAGTGCAAAACTCAGAAACATCAATGTAGCCTCGGAGTGGGTAGGAACCCACGATTTTATTTTGCGGTATTGTTAGCGGTACTGTCTTGGTGAGGTTTCTGCTTTTGCATCTGGTGGGTGAAATTCACAGTTTGGTAACGACAAGTGAGCATAGTGAGTACTCACGACGACATAAAGAGCAGAGGACATGATGATGACGGCACCGAGAACTGACAGTAAAGACGGTATAATTCCGAAGAATAGGCGTTCGAGCACCACAGCGAAAAGCACCTGGGCATACATGCCAGTGACACCACGCGACACAGTTTCTCGCTGTAGTCCCATCGTCAAAAGAGTCTAAAATCATAGTGAACTACCAGTAAGTAAATGCAGAATCACTGGCACTGTACGCACCTGCGCTGCAAAGCCGAAAACACCGACCGTGAACAGCAGAAGTATCCACATCCACGATGTAGGATATACAACGGGAATATCGAAGACAACCATCCTGTCACAAATGATGAATTGACACGTAAAATGCAGAGATGCATTGACACACCCCAAAGATGATATAATTGTGGACCATAATGAAAATAATGACATTACGTGCATCGGGTGAGCGCGCTTCCCAATTGCGCGTATCGAAGTATCTGTAAAACCCATTAAAGCGGTCATTACCATGAGAAGGTCAATCACAATACGTACATGCTCCAGTATTTCCGAGTACGCTGACCATACATGCCCTGCCAAAAATAGATAAATGGTGGGTTGAGCGGGACAGAGTACGCGTAATGGTACCCACACAACACCCGCCAGCCTTTGCGCAGGGACCGTGTCTGGGAGTCCTTGAGGAACAGCATTCAGGGAGCCAAATAGGAATGCGGGTCTGCCTATGAGGACAACCCCGAGTAAACTGAAAACTAGGGATTTGAGATCTCCGTAAATAATCATGAACTATCAAAGGCAGATTATAACTCTCACCTGCCGCGACAGCTTGCTTGACGGAGTAGCTCTCTTTCAAAAACACAGACCCAGCCACCGCTGTCGTCAGAGGTGTTAAAAAAACCAAGACCGTCGCATCTGCGACAGACAAGTACTGGAGTGACCAGTACATGCCAGATAGCCCAAAAAACCTGAGAAACAGATCGTTGACAAGTTTGATGCCGTGCGAGTAGATCAGCACCCACCCAGTGACACTACGAATGAACAGCATCATTCGAACACCTTTAGGGGCCAGTGATCGGATCGGGGACCCCCATGACAGTCCTTCGTGTCATCAGTTTCAAATCGTAGTCTGGGAAAGCAATCGACAAACATGTATATCTCGCAACATACAAAAGTGATGCCCTGAGACTAATCAATAGACGCTCCAGTCGAGGACACTGTGACGCACCATCCTGATCACGATAATCTGTTAACATCCAAGTTGGTTTGACCCTATATTCGATCATCAAAGATGGAAACAACTAACCTGAAGTGCGTGCACCGGAGGCTCCAAGCCGTTCAGTAACTTTACTGAGATATCCATGGAAGCGAAGAAAAACTGGGAGTATATGATGAATAGCATCCCAGCATTTCTGGCAGTGAAGCTGAGTGGTTCGTTCGCGATTACTCCATCATCTTGACATGTTTGCGTGGAGCCATAGTTTTCTATGTCGATATGATGAATGAGTGGAGACTTGGGCCCGCTCATCTTCGACGTTCGTTGGGTAGAGGGTTCAGAAGGTTAACACACCCGCGAGTTGGAAAAGGCTGGATGGGTCGAGAAGTTTCAAATTGATGCGGTCTAAGTCGGACCTGCATCATAGTAGTACATACATAAGGAAATCGATGCTGTCAGTTGATCGTTGACTAACTGGAAACATTAAACCGTTGAACGTCCAGCGAATCGGCATGAACTGCATCCTGCAGTCTTCTTGTAGGAGTATTGGTGGTTTTAAGTTAGTTCCAGCACATGACAAGACTTCAAAACACAGTATATACCTTTAGGCTCATCTAGATCTCATCGGTGGTAGTAAGTACGAAATGCCAACCGACATGAAGTTGAAGGCCAGCTGCCAGTAGCAACCGAGTCACGCGCCGTACTTTTATGTCCTACGAAGAAGTCGACACGCTTAATTTAGCTTTTCCCAGGCTAGCGCGGTCCGGACTACTAGTACAGCTGCAGTCTTACTATAGTCTATGTACATGTAGCACTTGGACAGATGCCTAGTAGAGACACTTGGCCGACTCTATGATCTGGGACTCTGTGCAAATAATATGGCTAGGAGATCTGGAGACTCGCATATACCTGATCTTTTGATAAGCTGACGGCTGAATACAAGCTCCTCCGAGTCGTGCACGGTAAGATTATTATGTTGACATAAATTAGGCAAATGACATTTCATGTATAGATTGGCCAGTGGGCAGTCAGTGTCTAGTCATAGATGTACGCACATCGCAAGACTCTGCATCCTTCAATCCGACTTGTAATTACTGCTAAGTGGAGCTTATGCGGGCATCGTAGGAATGGTACCGGCGCAGGCCCATGTTTTGGAACACCTGGTGATGATGATGCCGATAAGATACGAGCAGTACAATCCTCCACATCGATGGATGCTGAATAACTCGGTGACGGCGTGTCCGGCATTGTCGGCGGGATGAATTTGGCGGAGTAAAAAGCGGGCTTTGGCGGAGAACGACAATGGCCTGAGAACGTGGGCGCCAAAAGCGCACCTTCAATCACCAGAAAAGGACGAGGGCGTCGAAAGTGACGGCCGGGTGGAGTTTAGAGCACTGGAGGGCGTTTGCACTGATGAAACTTGACCTGGGAGTTAGATGAGTACGGAGGGATAAGCAAAGATATGGGTAATGAACAACCCGATTTGTAGGTTGAGTTAGTTGAGGTTTAGGTGGCGCCTTTCGTGTACACTGTAGACGAGTCATTCGTCGTTGCCGTTCACGTTGGCATTGGCGAGCACTAGTCAAGTGGTTTTTGTCGCCGTTGTTCCTGCTATCAGAGGTAAATTGCATCTGACAAGGTTTCGAGGTACCAGTCTTGTCATTACGTTCTTACGTTACGCTCCACATACCTCGTTCTTGTCAACTTATCTGGAAGCAGAAGTACTTCGGAAGGGTAACAGGGGACTCATAACTTGGGTGGGGATGTCGTGTCGTACTTCGGCGTCGGTCCGACACTATTCTGAACACAAATGGAAGTAAGCAGGGTGAGCGCACTATACCACCAATATACTACCATCAGAAGTTAAACTGGGCGTAGCTTCGCCGCCACTTACGAACGTGACGGACTCATCACGTGTGATACGGGCCAGAACCTATAAGGGTGAACGGGGAACATCAGATCAGACTCTAGAGGACTTCTGACAATCAGATAACAAATCCAAGTATACCCTCGATCATCGAGGTCATTCCAAAAGTCCACGACTGCCAGATACATGTCCCAATAGTAGACGTGTCGTAAGTCCGCGGAGTCAAATACGGCGCTCGTAGCAGGGTCAAAGGTATGTGGTGGAACTGACATACATAGAGCACACTTCTAGGCTGCATGCACCCCTTGTCAATCTCGGAAAGAATGTGATTACAACAAGAATATAGACAAGTTTGTGAGATCATGCCGGAAGTTACTTACTCGTTTGATAAGGACGATATAAGGAGGCGCGTGTATCCAGCCTGCCAGGGAGCCTGAAACAACGTGTGGGCAACCACCACGATGGCTCATAGGACGAAACGCGCCTTGAACCTTGATAGGATGACCGGGCAGGTTGTCATGTATCATTTGGGGCCCTCCATGCCTAACGGTTATAGAGGGTATGCCCAAACAATTTTCCGACATCAGAAATGTGAAATCCATGTCAAACAACATCAAGATGTGGCATGTCTGTGGGTAAGTAGATGGTCTCGCGCTGTCGGAAGCCGAATACAGTTGTTGTGGTACAACAGAGTGATGGTGGCGTTGCAGTCACATGCACGGAAGAATATGATAGGAAGCCTTTCCCAATAGAGTTGTGCTCCCCCGATCAAGACGCAACATATCCTTCAGGAAAAACAATGAAACGATGATGGGCGCCAAAAGATGCTAACATAATCAAGTCATCGGCCTTTCTGTGAGGGGGGATTATAAGAACGAGAGTGCGTGGAGCTCGGAGGAGCTAGTAGTAGAGCCTCGTACTGTCTTAGATCAAGGGAAAGTGTCGAAATCCACGAAATAGTAGTTAAACTCCGAGGTAAACGAGGGTAGACGGTGTGGCTCTCCGCCCAGGGAACAACAAGCTATCAACGTCGAAGCCTCGCGCTGTACAACGATCGCGACCAAATCGATAGATAGCGTGTTGGATGCGGAGCAAAGGAGGTCGAGAGCGAGAAATGATATCTGTATCTCCGCTGAGCGAGAAGACCCGTCCGCGCAAGTTCCCATCAGGCTCAATAGTTGCAAGGAATCTTCATTCGAAGTTCTGTCAAATCAGGGTGGAGTAACACTGGGACCTACGGGATGGCTTGCAGCCTCTTGTAACTTGGTGGCAAAATTGATCTGGGCACGAGGCAAAGTCTAAACATGGATCGAGATGCGGTAAACTCTCCGGCACCCCGGAATGTTCTCCGCAGTATAATTTCGGAGGAAGCGCCATATGCAATTATACGCGTGGTCCGAGCACGATGCATAATCACGGTGATCCGTCGTTTATGTTGACTGCGGTGAGAAACACTGTTTAATTCACGGGTTTGTGGAGCATTGCGAGAATGTTCAGGGCTGCGCAGGAGTGGAGCCGGTGGGGAGTACAGCGGGTCACCGGGGGCTAAGGCTGAGCACAGTGGCTGAGCGGGAGGAGTGGCACAGATTACATAACCGGGCAGCCCCGGCAGATCTGTGTAATCAGACGCCAAGTTGATCTCGAAGGCGGGGCCTTAGTTCTAAGTTCAAGGCCTGTATCTTGGGCCGCATTACCCAAACTTATCCGTAAATGATTCTGAATCGAAGATACCGTCTCCCCAATCGCGGATACATCCAGCCAAAGTGAGCTCTTCGTTCGACTTTATTTGTTTTATGTAGATATGGATTCCAGTCGCACGTCTGAATCGAAGACGACGAATTCGATCTCGTCGTTGCACAGGTGACAACGTGCCGTCCGAGACAACCGCGTCAGCCAAGTACGTTCCATACAGTGTTGTAGTACAAGGGCAGTATCCAATCTATCACACCACAAGGACATCTGAGTCCTTCTAGCGTGGCCTGGCCGCCGTGGTGGCAATCATGGTTGATAGGAACGGCGACGATGTTTGCGTGTCCACCGGAGCCTTGGCTTTGTTTACCATTGGGTACCACTTCAAACCATCTCAAGCTTTAAAATCTCTGTCGTCCAGTTGATGACGCGGTTCCTCGGATACTTCTATCGTAGGTAATATCCGAGAGCAGTTACTTCTTAGATCTCGAAGTCAAGGATGCGCTGCGGTGACGAGCGTCCGACATAGCGTTCCCGGTTGTCATTCTCCGCAACCGCAAACAAAAATAGTAGACACAAGCCGAAGTAGGTGATACATACAATCAACAACTGAGATCAGTATAGGCTAGTGAGCAAGCCAGAATGGTGGGCCAGTGCCTAGTACTCGATTAGAGCGGATTACTCCAAAAGTGGTCTGATTGAAATGGAGGGAAATAGGGACCAGTGGATTGCTTGAGACTTGGCGGATGGTCACGGTAAACTTATAATCAATGGTCCGTGGAGCACATGGTCATTCGGGCATGAATTCCACACTATGTAACTAGTATCTTCAATATCTTCAAGACTCGAATTGGTCTCGGTCGGTGCCGCAGAGGTGATAGAGTTAACCCCTGCGGTTGGTTCACAACGAGATCCGTGCATGATCCGCTGGAATTTATGAACCACTGGGAACAAACTTGAAGGACCAGGGCATAATTGGTGTAGCTTAGGACAGATAGAAGGGAGTGCTTACGAGAAGTGGAGCTGCATGAGACATGGTGTTATGTCGTACGAGAATTTCAATGCTGGACAAACATCCGACCCTGCTCAGCACATGATCTGCGACAGGGCGCGCAAAAGTATAACCAAGTTAAGATAAAGATTAGTAGCATCAATTACATCTAGGTGCCTTTGTGTGGGCGCGTTTACGGTTGTAGAATGTGACAATTTGAAAGTGTTATGCCTCGCAACCGAGAAGGTAAAAATACCGTTCTGCATTGTAGCTGTCCCAGCCTTTTCTGTTGAGAGAGGTGGAAGTAACTCTGGGCGCTGTGATTTATATGTACAATAGAGGTTATAGGATTTTGTCCAAAGTTGGATGCGAGCAGTAATGCACAGCAAGGGTTGAAGCTTCGAAGACGCTGATCGCCGTATAAAAAGCTAAGTAACCTCATTGGTGGCTCTCTGCCGCGTTCGTGGGTAGAGAGAAGAACTTGATGTCGACTTGTTCATGGCAATAAATAGAGATACTGTCATTGGTTGATGGGCCAAAAGAGATTATTAAGGTTCATTGACGTTAAAGTTCACCCTTCGAGGATGGATTCTCAGGATCAGAATTCAGAGGATGTGGACCTTGCACCGATTCGAGTAAGTGAAGGACTACTGCAGTAGTTGAGACATAATGGATGTGATCAAGGGCAAGGTGCTGAAGGCCTCGTGTAGCCAATAGTAACAGATAGTAGTAAAGTAGGGGAATCGCCAACGACTCGGGTTAATGTCATGATTAAATTACCGTAACACCCCCCGCGAGAGTGCCAGTTGACGATGTTCCTTGATACAGTAATATATTCTGAATCAGCGGTATACCAAATAATATGAATATATGAATCATCGATGGCAGTACGGTGTATACAGTGCACTATAAACCGTGAAAGGAGCGGATAAACATTGGTCGCGAGGCAGGGCTGAGTCGGCGGCAATAGGCGCCGGTAGTGGTAAAAGGGCCGGGTGGCAGTGTATTATGCCGAAATGCCGAGATTCTCGATATTTTATGTAATTGAGCATCCATGGCAGGTTACTACATAACGGATTCGAGCTAAATAGGCTTAAGGCTAGAGATAGTCCGTCCGATATATAGCACCCTCTCTTCCTCCACCATCAATTCGAATACAACACTTCATCATCTCTTACTGTAGCCGTCTACAGTAGACTATACTTAATCCCATCTTCTATCTTACTCCAGCTTCCCTAGCTATGGTCGCTACCTCCCAACCTATCGCGTTCCAGTCTCCTAATCATCCTGATTTCCACATGGCATCCGGTTCATCCACTGGTAACAACAGTGCAATGCCTTACTTTCTAGGCTCCCCAATATCATGGCGTGCTGGTTCATTTGGAAGCCGCTTTTACCCTGGTTGTTCACCTGGTCAACTTCTAGGACCACTGGAGTCAGTTCATGCTTCACTTACACGTGTCATTGTGCTGATATACTCTATGTAGTCCTAACGAATTCAAGTGTGCCAAGTTGTCGTCATCTATTGACAGCGACCGTGGTTCAATTCTGAATGCTCTTGGTGCCTTCGACAGGGACGATGAATTGGTGAGTCCGTGACTTTCTTACTTTGTGCCAAACTCTCATGGTTCCATTATTCCAGTGTCGCAACTACACATGCTGTGGTCTACAGCTAGATGACCTCCACGCTCTACTACAGCATTTCGAGGAGATACACGTTGTCGTGCTTGACCCGTTCAGTCAGCCCCAGTTCCCAGTTGTCCCTTCTTTACCTCAGTCTATTCGTAACGCAACTCCGCCGTCTTACTTCTCAGACCATCATCAGTACCCTTCTTACCACCAAGGTGGTTTCGACCCGGATGACATGGAACTTGATGTCGATCAGGGCAGCACGTCTTCGTCAAACGCACCAACACCCCCTGACACCCCCCTCACCACCCCACTGTCGTCACATCCTAGTCATTCGTTTAACCACTTTGGTCAATCGAAACCCGCCTCTCCGCATATTCCCGTGTCGGCATTTGATACGACAACCGTACTCCCTTCCCGCTCCGTCCACGGCTCAGCATTCCCACCATCTCGAAACGGTCTCCCAAATGTGGCAAATGCCCCCGATGCGTTTAATGGTTACGCGGGCTACTCCGACTACTCATCCTCAATGCCTGGCACTGTTCCTTCCCCACCTGCCAGCGACGATCTTCACGCACCTGTCACACCTGTCAGTGAACCGGGTAGTCCCTACGGCTGCCTTCCTCCTGCCGTAGTATTCTCCACGAGCAATACTCCTGCCAACACTCCTTCAGCCTCTCGTGTTCCGTCTCCAGCAAGCGCCTCGCGCCATCCCGTGCCCTCCGCGGCCATGCCTCAGCCGTTAGATTCCCCTGCTTCCAAAGCTTTTCCGTCACAGCAAGCCAATCAGCGTGCCAGTACCACGCTCTCTCGCCCTGCATCGTCATTGCTATTATCGAAGCCCTTCCGCTGTCCTAAGCCTAATTGCAACAAGAGTTACAAGCAAGCCAATGGGCTCAAATATCACATGACCCACGGCAGCTGTAACTTTGCGCCGCCCAAGGACCTCGAGCAAGTACAAGCACTACTGGCTAGCAAGCGGTCCGCCCGCGAGGCCGCCGGGCAGGAAGATCAGGGGATCACCGAGGGCGAGATGCGCGAAGTCGAACGGGAAGCAGAACGCAGGCTCCGGCCTTTTGCTTGTGGTGTCAGTGATTGTCAGCGCCGGTACAAGAACATGAACGGTTTGCGATATCACTACCAGCACTCGGGTGACCACGGTGCAATTGGCCTAGCTCTTCTGGCCAGTGGACAACATGAATGTTTACAGCATGCTCATGGACGTAGTAGCAGTGCAAGCTCAAGGCATTCAACACCAGCGACGAGTGGACACTCGACGCCAGTAAACGGACACTCGACACCGTCATATGCTCAACAGTATCAGCAGCAGATGCTTTACTCCTCCGCACAGCAGCAGTACTTGCGCCAGCAGCAGCAGGCCCTGCATGCGCAAGTGCAGATGGGCTATCCCGTCGGCTCAACCGAAGCTGTCCCTATCGTCGCCCAACACTAAAGACTGGAGCTCGTTCAAAACGCAATAGTCTGAAAGGATGATGATTTTTCCAACGTAGACTAGATGTAACTTATAGGCCTCATCATCCCATCCCTACTGGCTCTCGGTCCCCCCTCGGTGCTTTCTAGGTCTCGCCATCTCGACACAGACGCAAAAGTAAAAATTATACATATTGGTCGACTATTGTGATATATCCCATCCTTCTCTTCTCCGCTCTGCTTTACTTCTGCTCTTCTGTGTGTTTCTCCTTCTACTGGCCTACAACATATCCCAGGTCGACGCCCATCGCTTCTCAGATTCGTTCGTTTGCCAGTTCTCATTTTTTCCCTTGGCGTCTGGCTTATAATACTGCATCTCTCTTCTTCCTTGGTTGTTCGCCCATCGCGCAGAGCATGGCAGTTTTCGTACGTTTCCTAAAAGCCGGGAGTCTGTACTATTATGCAGGCTGGCATCTCTTTTGTAATCTTACTCTGCAGGTCCATCTCTAGCACTCGTACGGCGTATACTTACATTAACTATCTACATACACAGTATCTACTATCACCACCTATTTCATGTGCAGTGGATTTTGTATGCGAATGCGAGGCTCGGAATACTTTGAAAGTTTGAAACGTACAAGTCGGATCATCAAGTCAAGCTGCACACATGGTGCCACGTGTTGATCGGCATCCCAATTTCACTTGTGTCAGTATTTGGACGATCCCGACCAAATCCCGACTCCCCGCAGATCTGATCGACAGGTTTCACCAAGTCAAGTCCTGCAGTGCCCCTTTGCATTTGCAATTGGTGTTTGCTACGACTTTCATTGACGTGTGACACACTCTGTGACGAAGGGATCCTATCAAGCTTCAAGCTCAAGGTTTAGAGTGCGTGACGTCGCAGCGATCACTGTAGTCTAGGAACAGGCCCGGGGCAGCGCAATTGCACAAAAAGGAGAATGCAGAGTATAGCTTAGGGGGGAAAAAGTTTTCCCTCCAAGAGTCTGTTCGTCGTCTAGTATCTACCGAGACCTCGGCGAGGGTCGATGCGCAGCAACGAGCAGCCTGCACCGTACCCGTATGGAAAGTTTGATCAGAGACGAAGGTGGGTAGGAGGCAAACTCTAGATCTTCTTCCTATCTTTGATCTGCCTGCTAGGGAAGAAGTGGTGTATCGCACAGCGTGATAGCTGCGGAAGCATTTTGCATAGTGCTGCACGTCGGTTATCGTGGCAGTGGCATGACCTTGGTGACCGATCGGTTGTTCTACGATAACAGACAAGCAGACCTTATACGGAGTACCAGCCCTGGCCTACCTGTCTTACTTCGATAGGGTCATCTGGGGGAGGCTAGAATCGGGTATGCACACAGAAAGGTCCCCATCACCGTCAGTTGTTGTGGTCCTGTGAAATTCCCCTGCGAAAGGGTCGTCCATCTGGTCCCCCTTTTCTTGCAGTCCATCTGTCTGGATAAATTGGTATTCCACCTGCGCCAATACGCGGTTGGCTCGAATGTCTTCCAGGAGCTAGTGAAAAGCTGGGACCTGAGGACGCGTGATTGATATGCTCGTCGAGAATGTCAGAGCGGGAGTCTGAAAGGCATAGGCAGAGTCGTATCTAGAGCTATCTAGAGACTGTAGATTTCATGTGGATGTTCAGTTCCATTTTAATTCTTGGTATTTTTTTTGGTTCGTATCGCAGAAGCTAGTATATATTGCTGAGGGGAAGGTTATTGCGGAAATACTGACAACAGATGACCCGCGCTTTGCCTGCAAGTTTACGCGTCATGGCAAAAATCTAGCACCAATCACTTAAGTACGAAGGGAAATAGCAATCGAAAACAATCGCATGACACCTAGGTAAATCTACATTGAATGTATGATTCTAAAATCAACGTATCAGACTAGAGGAGAGGGAGTCGGGTTTCAGCTGAGGGAAAGCTTTATAAAAAGTATATCAAATCTTGACTCATATCTCTCCCATATCTTCCTCATCACAAGGGTATTTCATCACGAGGGATTCCAACCTAATATCTGAGTCACGGAGCTCGAGGGCACGTAGGCTTGCCTTTTCCATGTCATAGTCATCATCCACGGAACTGATCGTAATACCAATGCAAAGTTCCTTCAAGCAAGGGCACCGCTCGACGAATCTGACGATCTCGGACAGTAAAACACACAGTGGCATGGGTGCCGCGCCAAGACATGTTCTGATAGGTCTGGTTCAGGAGCAACGCTTCAAGACAGGGCCATACTTCTCCGATTTCCTCCAGGTCGTCCTCGCCAATGCTGAGACAAAATATTGTATCGATGTCCACAACCCGAACGTGGTTGAGGTAGAAGGGTGGCTACATGCCATGATGGTGTCAATGGTGATGACTGTACTGGTTAAGAACTGAAGTATTGATGGTTGGAGGATTCGGATAAGTGTATGCACTGCAGGTTCCTGAAAGCCTTGCACATATGGAGGGAGTCAAAGTATCTGCAGTAGGCTTGGATCAAACTTAACCTGAGATTGAAGTGACACCAAGGTGAGTATATAAAGCCATAGACGTGTGAAGACTTCGACGTCTTGTTATTCTTCGATTTCCCAATCAACGCTGTCAAAGATCTCAAAGAGAATCGGGCCGTGGGATGAGTCAAGAATATTTTCAAGATCACTGCCTGTGGGTAGACGCGTCTTGATACTGGTAAATGACGAGAGTCTACCCAGATAAGCCAGGACATCCTTTGTGATGGCCGCTATCACAAAGGATGCACTGGCTCGGCTAGTGATGTTCCGGGGTTTGGCCTGAAAGCCACGGCTTTGGCCTGGCTTTGCGTGGCTCTGGCCTGCATGATCTTCAGGCCGGGCCAAAGCCACGAACGACAGCTGGCTTCGGCCTGGCTCGGGCTCAAGCCGCGGCCCAAGTTCATGAAATGTGAAATATGGGTGCAAGAATAAAAGGACTGACGATGGGGTAACATTCTTCTTGCAGCCCTTTTCCCCGTGTCGGAATAATTCCAGCACATCATGTGCTGGGATTATCCCGGTGCCGGGAAAATGCACGAGGGGTTCAACGCCTATGAGAGCATCCCAGAGAGCATCAAATGCTTGCTCCGATAATGCACGACACGGTAATTCAAGGGCAAACAAGGTTGGTCCCGAAGATGTAACATGTCTCGCTTGCCAGCGTTTGTCGACATTGAGGTGGCTCATGATGTTTAAGAAATTTTCAGAAGCAAGGAGAGCGCGAGGCATTGTGCGGTTGACAGTGAAAAGCATTGCTAAAGCTATCAGGAGCGGGCGTTTCGGTCGTACCAGGGGTGTTTTAATTCGATGCGCGACGTGGAAAATCCACAGGTGCAAGCAAGGGAAATGAGTAGCATATATGGGCGATCGGAGTATCGGAGTATCTGAGTGTGCCGGAATCACGAGTACTACATACTGAATGAGTGGGAAACATCCACCAGTATTCTGTCCTAGCGCGTTGCGTCCAACTTGAAGGGGGTGCGCATCATCAGTGAACCGGTGAACAGATGAGAAGGTTATTTAAGACAATATATTATAAAGCATCGCAATAATCTTCGTATTTCTGCTGCCAACCCCCTTGACATGGGAGCCTTCAATGTTTTTTTGGGGGGTCATGATGACTTCTGTTAAAGCAAAACTTGGAATACTAGATAACGGCTTGCTAACTTGAAGTCACTAGTCACTAGTCACTGGCGGACATGGTGGCTATTGTATCGTCGGCACCACCGACACATCACAAGGCACGACAACTCTCACGTACAAGGAGGGAACAATTCCATCACTCAAGGACTCACACTTTGCTTGCAGCTTTGCATCATGGTGTCATGGCGGGTGAGATGAGATAAATTAGACAATGAAGTTCCAATCACTGTCACCAAAGTAAGTCCTTTGAATTATGTTTACGATGATCTGAGTACCGTAGTATGCTGCGAGATCTGCTAGGCATATAAAGATTCAAACCAGTCAACAGAGATGAATTGACAACGGCATTTCGCCCGAGGGAAAAGCTTTTTTACAAGCATGTTCAACCTCGAGTAATGAGAAGTCAATACGTGTTCCTCAGCACGGGATCTCAATGTGAGATATTCTAAAGTATTTGAGGCACGAGACCCAAGGATATGTAAGTTGCCAAAGTCAAAGTCTTTTCCCACGTCATTGAGGGTAAAATTGATACTAAGTTTCGTCAAGCGAGGACACAGCTCGACGAATCTGACGACCCCAGCCAATGTAACCCCTGGTGGCTTGGGATCATGACACCCATATGTCTCATTGAGGAGCAAAACTTCAAGACAAGGCCAGGCTTCTGCCATTTCCTTCAGGTCATCTTCGTTCAAGCTGATAGAGGACCCCGTATCAAATTCCACAACCCGTAAGGCGCTGAGGTAGAAGAGCGGCCGTATGGTGTCAATCGTAATAACGATCTCAACGAATTGAAAGAGACCGGTGGATAGAGAGGGGGAGAGTTCGAATAAACGTATGCACTGCAGGTTCCTGAAAGCCTCGCGCGTATGAAGCGAGTCAAAAAGCACCTGCAGTAGGCCTGGATCGAACTGGACCTCAGATCGAAGTGACATCGCAATGATATTACGAGGCCATAGACACGTGAACATTTCGACGTCTCGCCATCCTGCGATCTTCCAGTCAACACTTTCAAGATTCTCGAAGAGAATGTGGCCGCGGGATGAGCCGAAGACATGTTCTAGATCACTACATGTGGGCAAATGCGTCTTGATACTGGTAAATGATGAGAGTCCACCCAGGTAGGTCAGGGCATCCTTGGTTATGGCCGGTACGTTGACTGTGCGCAGTTTCTGCAAGTTTTTGATTGCATATGAGACTGGCAGAGCTAAAGGCGCGTCCCATGGGTCAGGTCGAGAGGAGAAGTCGAGATTGAAGTCGAAGCTTTCAAGGGATGGACAAGTTGTAGGCAATGACCGTAAGATCATGTGCAACGAAATCCTCTGCCAGAAGTACAAGTCCCGTCTGTAGCTGACTGCGGTAGATACGTTAATGGAAAGACGCTGCAGACGTGGGCCGAGTAAGGGGCGGAGCAGGTGGACTAAGTCACACGTGACACGTAAATCTCGTAGGTTTGGCATTAGGACCTTCGAGGAGTAGGCTAGGGTTTGTAAAAAGGATTGGACAGGGTGTGGCCAATCGTGAAAAGACATTTTCAAAAATCGGACGCGATTTGCGTAGCGACAAATGATGGCCAGCTGAGACTCTGTTGGAATCTATGGCATCCGTAAGTAACTATGCATTTATTCCCTGAAGCAAAACGAGCACTAACGACGTGGTCATCTGATCCCAGCGTTGTGTTGGGTGATATGATGACCCCACCGCATTTCATGAGTGGAATAATGCTTTCAATCGATTCCCAGAGAGCATCCAATGCTTGCTCTGAGAACGTGCGACATGTTAGTGCAAGGGCATACAGGGTATTCCTGGAAAATGCAGGAGGATTCTTTGTGTGAACGTATACTTCGTCTGCACTGATGTAGCTTATGATGTTGGAGAAAATTTCGGACACAAAAAGAGCGCGAGACATCGACTCGGAGCTGTTGACAGTCGACAGGGGCTCCGCTGGCGCTAAGACTGTGGTGATGCAGTGATTTTGAAAGGGCGCTTCGCTTGAGACCATCTTCAGGATGTGTGCAATCCACAGGATGAAAAGATACTGGTAGGTAAAGGCTCGGACCTCAATATTTATTCAGTCAGAGGAGTCGTAGATCCGGCCCTGTTACCCTTCCGGAGGACTTCGGCTCCCCAAAGCTCCCGAAAACAATGTACGTACGTTACCTCACTAGTACAGCACTCGGAGGTCAAGACCTCCAGCACCGCTCGGTAAGGTATTTTCTGTCGTATAAGGTTAAGGACCTTGTCATCGCGCGTCTACTACTGCCCACCACGCCCGACCTACACGTGACCCTCCCGCCACTTTTTGCTTTCACTCAGTCACTCATCAGGCAAATGACGAGTGCTTATTTAGCCTTATTCTACTTAGTGTGCATGAATAGCATAAGACGGAACTTGATTTAGGGCACACCCGTAAATTTGATCACTTTCTAATAGGCTAAGGAAGGCAACACGCAAGATTAGGAGACATAAGAACAATTTATTTCCAAGCAAAAAACAAAGGAGACATCTCTATGTTTTTAAAGTTCGTCCAACTTCAACGTTGGCGTTGGCGAGCACCAGAAAGTACTTGTCCTGTTCGTGGACAAGAGGTTTTTACTGCCGCTGTTCCTACTGCTTGGGTACTAAGTCAGACGTAAATTTGCAGCTCATGAGGTTTTTGAGGTCTTGTCATTACGTTCTACGTTATGCTGCACGGGGACCTTCTTTTCGGGAGCTTTTTGGAGCCGAAGTTTTCGGAAGGCATTGCATCACTCCAATTGCCGGGAGTAGCGGAGGAGTATGTGTCGCCATGATACTAAGGATACGTACTAAAGTGACACCCACAGGTACTGTGAGGCACACCCATGCCATTATACCATGTCAGCACAGACTAGCATCCAGTTGAGTTGACGGAAAGACAGCCAATGAGACAGCCGGAAAGCCTTACTGTGGCCCCTTGTAGAGTCTATCCTCAATCGAGGGCTGGCAATGGGAACCTCCAACGTGGGATCGAAGACCTGTAGGACAAGATCGCAGTATGCATCTGCGACGTAGTGACTGCTGATTAAATAATGCCACGCGCTCTCAAAAAAAGAGCCTGGCGACACGGGATCGTGAGTTCTAGTGGCTCGTCGCGATCAGCAGTACTTACTCGAATAAAGTCTTCGCAAGACAAACATGCATGTAAAGATACTCCAAATATTCTCCAAACCCAGGGGAATTCGAGCAGCGCTAGCGGTCTGATGGAGTGCAGGAAATGTTGACGCACAGCTGACGATTCTTAAAGCTGGATTAGCAGAAACTGGAAACGGTAGGACTTGCAATGATTGATGGTTGGAGGATTACAAGCTGACGTCAAACAACGATCGCTCGTTACAAGATCATGAATATCATCAATAAAGTAGGAAAAGAACATTGGGATATATCGTACTGGTATCGTGACGAGAAGTTACAAGGATACATTTCTACAACAATCCACAGCACTAGGTCGTCTTCACCGCCTGCCAGAATGACGCGTACCTGTACAAACATGCACGCATGATCAGCAATCCTTCGCAGTGAAATCCGAAATCAAAAACGTACATGTTGACACGGTCTAGTGGAACCTCCGGCCCCTTCCTGACTCCCAAAGCAGTGACGGTAAAACCTTTGCGCTCAAATCTGGCGCAACACTACGTCAGCCTTCACAGGACACAGGACATTCTCAAAAAAAACGCACACGTCGCAGTACCATGGCTTCCTAGCTGCAGAGCGCCAGAGAACAAAGCCACCTGGTGAGAGCACGCGATAAAACTGGTCAACCTCGTCATCGACGTCCTTGGATCCCGGTGAAAACCAGTCGAGGTGATCCATAATAACGGCTCGAGTGAGAGACCAAGAAGTCAATCCTAGTAGGACGCTGAAGAGTTTTATCAGACTGGTTACGCTTCATAGTACTAACAGTGCTTACTTATATATCGAATCGGTGTGCAGTCTAAACGCATCGGTAGCTTTGCCGTTATTAGCTTTGAGAGCCTGAAATCCGGAGCGCGTCAGATACTCTGGGCAGGAGGATGGTGTGTAGTGCCCGAGAAGCGTCTGATAGTGTCCTGTAAGCGCAAGAAAAAACTCAAAAATCTTCAACTTACCAATGGGTAGAAGTAGGCGCCATCCTTGAAGGAATACGTCGATGGTAAAGGGTTTAGGGTGTCTCTTACGAACTCATACATGGATCCTTCATCCAGGACCATGCGGCGCTGGTTGAGGGGCACTCCCAGTGCGTTCCAGCAGAATATCGGGCTCTTGAGCAAGGCAATGACGACAGGGTTCAAGAGGACAGGTTTCAGCTTCTCGCGCCAGATCTGCTCCTGCTGAGCTATACTGCCCGCATTGCACAAAGCTTCCACATCTTTCGATACTCCAGCGATTGAAAAGATGACTCTGGCGAGGCGCAGAGCCCAACCGCTGTATCCTTTCAAGTAGAAGGCTTTGAAGAAAGCATCGTCGTTGATGTGCCAAAATTGATAGGCGATAGAAGAGAGAAAGGGAGCGATCTTGGAGTCGAGGAGCGCACGGAACTTGGGATGATGCCCATCACCGAACAAGGAAAAGAAGTCTTTATACTCAAGGGCTTGCACGGCTGCGAGTTTCAACTCTAGCAAATGACCTTGACTGTGTGGCAAAAAGTCAGTCGAGCCGCATGATGGAAGG